ATTTATTCATTTATTTATATATTATTTTTATTCTCAAGTTAACATACAGTGTAGTCTTGACTTCAGGAGTAGAACCCAATGATTCATCTCTTACATATAACACCCAGTGCTCATCCTGCAAAGTGTCCTCCTTTATGCCTGTTGCCCAATTAACCCATACCCTTCACTCCACCCCCACCCCCATCAACCCTCAGTTTGTTCTCTGTATTTAAGAGTCTCTTACAGTTTGCTTCCCTCTCTGTTTTTTTCTTATTTTTCCTTCCCTTCCCCTATGTTCATCTGTTAATTTTCTCAGATTCCACATGTGAATGAAATCATGTGATACATCTTTCTCTGACTGACTTATTTCACTTAGCAGAATATCCTCCAGTTCCATGTACGTTGCTAAAAATGGCAAGATTTCATTTTCTTTTTCATCGCTGGGTAATATTCCATTACATGTGCACACACACCACATCATAATCCATTTATCAGTTCATAAATATTTGGGCTCTTTCCATAATTTGGTTGTTGTTGACAGCACTACTCTAAACATTGGGGTGCATGTGCCCCTTCGAATTAGCATTTTGGTATCCTTTGGATAAATTTCTAGTAATGTAATTGCTGGATTGTAGGGTAGGGGTTTGTTGTTGTTGTTGTTGTTGTTGTTGTTGTTGTTTTTTAGGGTAGTTCTATTTTTAATTTTTTGAGGAACCTCCATACTGTTTTCTAGAGTGGCTGCACCGGTTTGCATTTCCACCAACAGTGCAAAAATGTTCCTCTTTTTCCACATCTTTGCCAATATCTGTTGTTTCCTAAGTTGTTAATTTTAGCCTTTCTGATTGGTGTGAGGTGGTATCTCATTGTGTTTTGATTTGTGTTTCCCTGATGATGAGCAATGTTGAACATCTTTTCATGTGTCTGTTAGCCATCTGGATGTCTTCTTTGGAAAAGTGTCTATTCATGTCTTCTCATTTCTTCACTGGATTATTTGTTTTTCAGGTGTTGAGTTTGGTAAGTTCTTTATAGATTTTGGATACTAATCCTTTATATGTCATTTGCAAATATCTTCTCCCATTCTGTCAGTTACCTTTTAGTTTTGTTGATTGTTTCCTTTTCTGTGCAGAAGCTTTTTATCTTGATGAGGTCCCAGTAGTTCGTTTTTGCTTTTCTTTCCATGGCTTTCAAAGATATGTCAAGTAAGAATCTTTCAACTGGCATATCTAGGAAGCAGCCTAGGTATAGTGGAAACAGGTTGAACTTTGAAGTCTCTATCAGTTATATGTTGTTACATAACAAACTGCCCCAAAACTTGGTGACTTAAAACTGTAACCATTTTATTTCTCATAGTTCTGTAGGTTGGCTGAACTCATTGTCTGCTGGTTTCTCCTGGGTTTATTTATGTGGCTGCATTTGCCTGGTAGGTCAACTCAAAGGTAGGCCTCTCTCCATGTTGTCTTTCATTCTTAAGGAGGCTAGACTAGGTTTCTTCACAAGTAGTCTTGGGATAGCATACCGAGAGGGTAAGCCCCGGTGCAGAACACTTACAAGACCTTTGGATTTTATCCTGCATTTGCTGGTTTTCTATTGGCCAAACAAGTCATATAATCAACTCAGAGTTAATCAAGGAGGATATGTGACATGGATGTCAGGAGGTATGATTCATTGGTGGACATTGGTATAACCATCTGCCACAGTCCACCTTCAGGTCCCCATGATCCACATTCCTTCCTTATGCAAAATATACTTACCACCTCCCTAAGCCCCAAAGTCTCATGTATTTCGTGGCATCGAGCTCAAGGTCCATGATCTCATAATCTCATAAGTTTCATTAGGTCCAGATGTGGATGTGGCTCCAGGGGTGCAGCTCCTCAGTCCAAGGAACTAAAAGGATAAGTTACTACCCCTACCATTACTACACATCCAGTTTGGAATAGTGAGTCAGGAACAAGACAACCACAATAGTCACTTCCATTAATGGGGTGCTTGGGTGGCTCAGTCGGTTGAGTGTCTGACTTTGGCTCAGGTCATGATCTCACAGTCTGTGAGTTCAAGCCCCACGTTGGGCTCTGTGCTGACAGTTCGGAGCCTGGAGCCTGCTTCGGATTCTGTGTCTCCCTCTCTCTCTGTCCCTCCCCAGCTCATGCTCCATTTCTCTCTCTCTGTCAAAAATAAATAAACATTAAAAAAAAATTTTTTTAAAGAGGGAGAATTGGGAAGCACATAACAATCATTTGCCCATAGTAATTCTGAAATCCAGCTGGGCACCTATTATCAGGACCTCCTACTCTAGAAGTAAAGAATATTTTTTGACTAGGGCCCAGACTGTTTCCTGGGAGAGATTCCCCAACCATTGTACTCCAGAATCCTTTGCCCTCCAAACTATTTTCCCTGGAAATTTTCAGAAAGAAATGATTTAGAGATAGCTATACTTGTGGTAAAATAGCATAACATATAGACTTGTCAAATTACTATGTTATACACCTGAAACTAATGTAACACTATGTGTCAACTATACTTCCAATTAAAAAAAGAGACAAGATGGGGGACCTGGGTGGTTCAGTCAGTTAGGTGTCTGACTCTTGATTTCAGCTCAGGTCATGATCTCACGGTTCATGAGATTGAGCCCCGTGTCAGGCTCTGGGCTGACAATGGGGAGACTGCTTGGGATTCTCTCTCGCTGTCTCTGCCCCTCTCCCACTAGTGTACTCGTGCACTCACACACAGTCTCTCAAATAAACATTAAAAAAAAAAAAAAAAAAAAAAAAAAAAAAAAGATGACTCATACTTGTATTTGAGTAGCTGTCTCAGCCTGATTGCTTGTCCATGGAAAGTTGGTTTAGAAGCTCCTTTTTTTCTTTTTTCTTTTTCCTTTCTTCCTTTTGAACTGTCAACTGTCACTTGAGTTGAAGCTCATACAACTCCCTCAAAAGCTTTTTGGGATTTCTGTGAATGTCATTAACGTTCATTCCGTACCCTAAAAGACATATCCATAGTTCTTTTTTGAGGTAGACAGGTCTACTTTAGGTTGAGTATAAGGCTCCTATGGGACAATACCCTTAAAATTCTTAGAGACCTTTTGTCTAGCCAAAGGGGTCAATCAGGCTTCAACTTAAATTTGTTAGGTCTTTAGAAAAGGTCTTATAGCTGTAGTTTTGATTTGGTTTTTTTTTTCCTAATACCATTTCTTTCTTTGAAGTCTTTTTTTCTGAAGAGACTGGAAATGTGAAGGTTCTCTTTTCAACCTAGCAAGTCTTTTCTCCTTCACAGGTCCTCTAAACTGCTTCCAAACTCACAATTCTCCCTTTAGCTCATCTCTCTTGTACCTTGTACCTTGTACACAGCTGAAATAATCCAGATGACATTTCATCATTCTGCCTGGTAATCCTCTTATCCAGATACATAATTTTATTATACGTTTTCTATTTTTCAAGTTACCATAGGCAATAGTTTTGCCAGTTGTTTCACTACCTTCTAACATAACATGTCCCTTCTCAGTCTCCAGTAACAATTTCTTCACTGCCTTTCTAGCTTCCACTAAGAATTTGCTGTCTCTTTAGCTTTCACATTTAGAACCCACCATTCAGACTCAAAGCCACTGACACATATTTTAGGCTTTTGTTGAACAGCACGCCATCCCAGATATACTAGTTTCTGTATCAGATATCTGTTGCTGCATAGCAAACTACCCTATAATTTACTAATTTGAAATAGTCATTTTATTGCACATTCTGTGGATTGACCAGATGGTTCTTCTACCTAGGGTCACTCATGTGACTGCTTTGGACGAGTCTTAATACAGAAGCATTTTTTAGGCTTGCTTGTGTCATGTTTGCTAAGGTCTTTTTGGCCAAAGTCAGTTAATATGGCCAAACCCAGAGTTAGTGTGGATGGGACAACACAGGGGCATGGAAGCCAAGAGGTGTGATTCACATGAGCTGTTTGTAACAGATTCCAACAGATTTCGAGCTCTACATTACTGTGTGCCTTTGGGAAAATCATTTAACGGTGTGCAGCAATTTTCTCACCTGTAAAAAGGAATTAGCAATACCTATCATAGGATGGTTGTGAAATTCAAATATTTTAGTAATTTTTTTATGATTTTAAAATAGTGCTTTTGTTATTAGAGAAAATGTCCAAACTATAGAAAAATATTAAAAAAGAAACATTTCTTGAGATCCCATCTGATACAGTACTATACTATAGGCTCCTCGGGGGCCTTCTCTATTTTCTTTACTACTGTAGATATATATCTTGGCTTTGTATTCTGAAATGTAAGGTCTTTGAAGGAAAAGAACTATGGATATATTCATCTCTGTAAATCCCATAGCTTTGCATTAGGGTTAAAAAAGATAATGTGTAGAAGTGCTTGGCTTAATGCTTGACACAGGTTATGTTCCCCCCTTAAATTGGAGTTTCATTAGATCCTAGTAAGGATTTTTAGATATCCTAAAATCACAGAGGTGGGAAAGTTATGCTGAGAACAGATCATCTAAATGGATCTCTGGAGGGTGGCTTCCACTGCCCAGCTTCTCTCTGAGGAATCCTGGTTATTCATGGCATGGAGGGTGAGGAATGTTCCAGGGAAGGAACATGTCGAGATCTGCTCATAGGGGTGCCTGGGTGGCTCAGTTGGTTAAGTGTCCAATTCTTGATCTCGGCTCAGGTCATGATCTCATAGTTCCTGAGTTCAAGCCCCATGTCAGACTCTGTGCTGACAGCTCAGAGCCTGGAGCCTGGGTTGGAGTCTGTGTATTCCTCTCTCTCTGACCTTCCCCCACTCATGTTCTGTCTCTCTCTTTCTCTCAAAAATAAGTAAATACTGAAAAAAAAAATCTGAGTATAGATGCCAAAGTGATCAGTAGAGAGGCCTCTATTAAAAACTCCATTAAAAAAGAATAATCTAAAAAAGAGAGAGAGAGACTAGCCATTGAAATATTTTATTGTTAAAAACTGAAGTCTGACATTACCAATATGATGGTTTTCTTGACACTCAGACAAGTCTTACTTTCACGTTTTAGTCAAAGAAGTTTGGCAGAGATCACAGAACTTATCCACACTGCTCTCCTCGTACATCGTGGGATAGTAAATTTAAGTGAATTGCAATCCTCTGATGGACCACTGAAAGACATGCAATTTGGAAATAAAATAGCTATCCTGAGTGGAGACTTTCTTCTAGCAAATGCCTGCAACGGACTAGCTCTGCTACAGAACACCAAGGTAATACCGGGCAGGGTTTGCTTATGTCTGGGTGACCTTTAGGTGGCTCTTGGTTGACTGCTGGAGCTGTGGAGGTCTGTATGCCCTGCTGCCCCAGCCCCCCACGTGTGGATGCTCAGTAAAATTGGGATGATGGTGGTGGCAATGTCCACATCAGGTAAAACACAAATGCCAAGAAAGAGTTTTAAAATTAACTTCTTTTTCTGCTGGTTGTAATTAATTATTTGTTAACTATATCAGTATGGTTAAATAACACAAAGTATATCTATAAACAAATATTACCTATTATCTCGCTACCCAGAGACAACCACTGTTAGTTAATATTGTGATGTATTTCCTCTCAGGCTTTTTGTTTGTTTGCTTACTCCTACCTTCATGTTGTAACATAGGTGAGAACTAACATTATAAGGTTGTTTTAATCCTGCCTATTTTTTCCTGCTTCATATTATGATGTGGGCACATTCCCATGTTATTAACACTTTTCACAAACTTGTTAATGGTTGCGTAATATTCAGTTATTTATTTATTTGTTGGTTTATTTTTGTGAGACAGAGACTGAGCATGAACGGGGAAAGGGCAGAGAGAGAGGGAGACACAGAATCTGAAGCAGGCTCCAGGCTCTGAGCTGTCAGCACAGAGCTCGACACAGGGCTCGAACTCACGAACTGCAAAATCATGATCTGAGCCAAAGTCGGATGCTTAACCGACTGAACCACTCAGGCGCCCCAATATTCAGTTATTTAGATGTAATATCACTTCTTTAACAAATTTCTCATTTTTGGAATTTAAGTAGCTTCTAATTTTTTACTGTCATAAATAGATATGCAGTAAACATCTTTACATATCAATTTTGCTCATTCCAGATTATTTTGTTAAGATAAATACCTAAAAGTGGTTCAAAGGGCTTAAATATTTTTAGCGTATTGGCAAGCTTCTTTCTAGAAAGATTATAGAGTTATTCCTTTTATATGAATTTGAATCAGGTTTAGCTGTAAAATAACAGTGGCCTAAACAAGACAGAATCACTCTTTCTCATGTAAAAACATCCAGGACTAAACAGTCCAGGATTGAGTCTACAAAGTCAAGAACGTGGGCTTTTTCTGTCTTACTCCTCTGCCATCCCTGTCTTACTACTTTATTTATGGCCCCAAATAGCTGTCATCATGTTCTCACTCCGGTCAATAGGAAGGGAGGAGGAAGAAGGACAGAGAAGGACAGGTCTCCTTCTCCTAAAGATCAAATGAGGGTACATCCTGGTTTGCTAAGGACAGTGTCAGTATATGTCTGCTGTCCCAGAATCCCATCTGACTTAACATTTGTCCTGGAATTTTTTTTAACAGAGGACGATTAATAATGACATTAGAATGAGCCAGGATGGGTTTCATAGATGTCTACTTTATACTTCCAACCTCCGCCTCAGTTTTTGTCTCATCTAAGCTAATAGTATGTGAGAACCGTGTACAGTGGAGAGTGTTCTCATGGTAAGGTGATATTAAATCTGGAGGACAAGCAGAAATAACTTTCCAGACACCTCCCAATCAAGGATAGCACACAAGGCAGTTGGTGGTACAACGAAGTGTCCTGAATGTCAAGGTTAACAGTTAACTTCTCCCTGTATCATGTGTGGAAGTTTTTGGCACTGCTGGCCCAGCAGTGGGCCACTTGATGTATCAGCCAACTGCACTGCGGCCCACGTATGGCCTTTGAGAGTCACCAAGTCACCAGTCCAAAAGCTCAGTGGGAAGCAGAGTAAGGTGGAAGTTAGGTGTCTGTGAGTTACGTATGGAAAATCAAGGCTGATCAGGGGAGTCGGTAGAGAGTAGACTGAGCACCCTTGCTTGTGCAGTGTTAACCTGTAACACTTTGATTGTTTGGCGACGCTTTGTTTTTTGCAGTGAACCCTTCTGGCAACAATAAGCTAAAAACTATATATTTCATTTATTTTTAAGTACTAAGATAGTTGGTAAGGAATGTGTAATTCTCATAAAATGTTGGCACTTACTATCCACTGTGGAGGCCATTTTGTTATCACTGACCGCATGAAAACAAGTATCAAATCTGCTGAAAAAGTATCAGGATCTATTTCCAAAGTTAGCAGTTACTTTAAGAAGACTTCCTGAGGATGAGGGTTTCACACATGCCACTGCAGAATGTATATACACATACCTCGCTGTGAAGCCTAACTTTTGTTTAGACAGATGTCTGTTTTTCTAAATTAATTTCACTCATTTTCGACTATGGGTTTTGTGGGGTTTTTTTAATTTATTTATTTTGAGAGAGAGAAAGAGCAAGCAGGGGAAGGACAGAGAGAAAGAGAGAATCACAAGCAGGCTCCTCGCTATCAGCACATAGCCCGATGCAGGGCTTGAACTCGTGAACCATGAGATCATGACCTGAGCCGAAATCAAGAGTCAGACGCTTAACTGACTGAGACACCCAGGCACCCTTCAGCTACAAGTTTTTATGTGCACATAGGAATAAGGGAAGCGATAACTTTATATTTCTTGGCCCCATTGGCCAAAGAAAAACTTTGCAAACAGTTAAATAATTCCAGTTTTAGTTGACTGTCATCAGGTACTTCAAATAATTAAATCATTTTAGTTAATTCAAAAAATGTTTTATTTTTTTCATCCATTCATGGAATCAAGGTAAAGCTTCTGAAAGTATATTCTACCAGAGATTAAGCCATTATGAGTGAGATCAGAAATTCAGCTTGAAGTACAACATGGAAGATAAAATTACTAGTTGATAATAATAATACAAGTACACATTTTGCTGAGGTACACACAGTGTTGTGGTAAAAACAAGGTTCTTACTACATTGAGATTCCTGTGGAGTACTTGGAACTGGTTGTGGCATACCCGTAACTCATAATTGCATCCAAACAAGTGTCCACATTCTACTAATTGCAATAGATGGAATTGTTACAAATATTTATGAGTATTTTTATGTTCAAGTCTTTGAACTACATGATTTTGGGGATTTTGGTGTTGAGTACAAAACATAGTTCAGCACTGCAGTATGTTCCTTCTGTCTTTGTTGCCTGTCATTCATCAGATTTTCAAAATCTTTATGCCCAACAATGGTATTGAACTTTTTTATAAATTTTGATGACATCTTGTTCAGAATCCATTGGAAATCTGAAATCGAGGGTTCAACAAATAGAACACAAAATGAAACTTTTAGGGAATTGTAATGAATTCCCTAAACAATCAAGGAATTACAGTTAATGAAAATCCCATTGGCTTTTTCTTTGCAAAAGCAAGGAAGGAGCACAACAAAATAAATAGTAAGAACTCAAATGCTACCCAAGATTAAAATTTTAAATTATGTAATTGTGATTTGGAATATCTCACCTTGTAGGAAGAATCTTTTGGTAGTGCGCCTATTTTGAATAAATTATACACACACATGAATGAAATGAAATTGAGAAGGCCTAGATTTTGTAGCATCTAATTTTAGCAAAGCATTCAAAAGAATCGTAGAGACAATTTATTTGACAAGCTTTGTCTTATAAAAATATTTGTCAAAAGAAGGTACTCTGAAGGAAGCAAGAAGACGGTACCTTGAAAATATTTGGGCTAGAATAGTTACACTTTACAATATTTAAAAAATCAGAATTGAGGGGCACCTGGGTGGCAGGCTCAGTTGGGTAACCATCCAACTCTTGATCTCAGCTCAGGTTTTGATCTGAGGGTCATGAGTTCAAGCCCTGTGTTGGGCTCTGCACTGGGCATGAAGCCTACTTAAAAAAAATTAGGGGGTGCCTGGGTGGCTCACTAGGTTAAGTGTCCGACTTCAGCTCAGGTCATGACCTCACGGTTCTTGAGTTCGAGCCCTGCGACAGGCTCTGTGCTGACGGCTCAGAGCCTGGATCCTGCTGTGGATTCTGTGTCTCCCTCTCTCTACCCCTTGCCCACTCATACTCTCTCTCTCTTTCTCTTTCTCTCTCTCTCTCTCTCTCTCTCTCTCAAAAATAAATAAGCATTTAAAATTTTTTTTTAAAAAATTAGAATTGAGTTTCTCTTCCACTTTGGAAATTTGCTTAGAGCTTACCGGGTAACTCAGAACTGGTAGAATGAGCATTTTCTCAATTAAAAATATTATGGTCTACCAATAAAATCAAATGAAGATATCAATAATTTCATATTAGTCATAAACTGCAACTGTGAAGAATATTGCTGGCAGTTTTATTTTTAAATGCCATATTTTCTTTGTAATTTTTTTTTTGTGTGAGAGAGAAAAGGAGCAAGTGAGCAAGGGCAGAGAGAAGGAGAGAGAGAGAGAGAGAGA